CCTCACCGCCACCCGTGTCATCTCCGACTTGGCTCAGTCTCGGCCACAGCAAGCCTGTGGCGTCGCCGGCACCGGCTTAATGTGGCTGCTTCTTCTTGTTTTTTTTTGCCCCCCGCGTCGCAGGCCTCGTTGCCCGATTTAGCGTCGGCTCTGATTGTTGGGGTGGATATGGGAGAGATAAAACGGAGGCTGCAATTGTTGTGGAGATGGGAGAAGATAATGAGACATCATCGTTTTACATGGCGTGGCCCCCAACTGTCGGCTGCAGGGATTTTTTGGCATGTTAACCGACCGCACAATACAGAGATTAATGCTTATATTTGGCATGCATAGGCATGAGAGACTCATGAAGAGGCGGGTGAAATGTTCCAACTATCTTTAAAAGGAAAGGAAAAACAGCACCCCGCCCATAACAGATCTTATGAGGCTGATTCAAATAAAACAGCTTTTGGGAACAAGATACATGAGCAGTGAGTTGGGCTCTTATTTGTGACTATATAAGTTAATCATATTTATTTTGAAACAACAATGAAGATAAAATCATAGATGTGAACATGACTAAAAGAACACTTTTCCTGCCTCATTGCTTATTTATTTCTCAAGAAACGGAGACAAGAGTAGCCATGCTTGAATGGAATGAATTTTCGTGAGGTGAGTGAAATACTCAAAAGGTAAAACTGTATCTATCAATCTTCCTATACCTTGACCATGAAATATTGCTTGAAAATAATAGTTGAATATAAGCTACGTGAAAGATCTTTTCTCCTGTCTGATTCTCTAAAAACAACAATTTGAACAAACAAACAAACAAGACAGCGCATCACAATTATGTTCCTAGCACAAGATAAATAACCCCTGCTAAATCATGCAAACAAGAACAACCAAGTGCAGTATTGAACTATGAGGCATTAGACAAGCTGGGAGATAACCATGAACGGATGGACCTAACAAGGATGCAATAGAAAGTTTACCGCTTCATATTGTCGGTAAAGACAACAACGACGGTGGGAAGTTGGTATATATGAATGTTCTCGAATTGGATAACCCGCGAGATTCAGCACACATCCTCTCAACCTGCATTGTCCTGACATCCAGTATGCAAAATTCAGTGATTGGTAGGGTTATTAACAAAAATTGCTTCTGAGCTTCTATCCTTAGTAGGATCAAGTAGTTTTCTGTTCCACCTTTGATATTATACCGATACCCAGAACCTAGTGACAGTTTCTCCATCTGCCAGTCGCCAGAACTCTCGCCTTTGTTTTGCCAAATGGTATAACAGAGATAAGATTCACCACTTGCATTTTCATGACCTGTACGAAACATCCCAAGCCTGCCTTCCCCTGCATCAACAATAGCTATATCTGGTTGGCTCCATTCTCCAGGTGGGAGGTCAGCAATGGAGAACTCCATTGTCCTGGTGTCAAGCACGAGCAAATCTGTCTTATTCATCGGCAAGACCCAGTAGACGCAGCCGCCCACCAAATGGCGCCTGATAAAATACAAAGGCTCCCTGTCCATGCAGGCCTGGGATGCAGCGGCTTGCCACTGCCCAGTGCTCGAAGAGAAGACAAACACGACCATATTGGTTTGGCAACATGCCGACCAGATCACTCTGAACATTGTCTCTTCTGCCAGGGCAGCCTCCTCATCGCTGAGCGGAATGAGGCTAGGCTCGCAAGACCACCCTAAAAATTCGTCGTCTTGGCTCTCCACCGATGCCACCAGATCTTCAGGCACCGGGGGAAGCAGGGGACGCGGATTTTTAGAGCTCAGGTTTCTGGACACCCCTTATCCTTACCCTCCAACATTGCTTTGAGATCCGTGCTAGACAACTAACTTTGTACATCAGTTTTTTTCTTTTTTGTTTCTTCAAAATAAAACAACATATGAACTTCAAACTTTGCAAGACACCAAAACGTTTTATCTAGAATGTGAGAAAAAACTTTCAGAATTTTTTGTCAAACATAAATATACGAAATTAGAATTTTTTTTTATTAAAAAATGTACTTTTTAGTATTTATATTGCACAAAAAATTCTGAAAGTTTTTTCCCACATTCTAGTAAGAATGTTTTGTTGAGCAAACAAGTTTGAAGTTCATATGTTGTTCTATATGGAAAAAACAAAAAAGACAAATGTACTCACACGAATCGCGATGCAAAAATGAGTGGCTAGATAAAGGGGTGTCCCAAAGCCTATGCCCTATAGAATATTTTCCGGAAAGCAGGATGTACCGCCAGTGCAAGGGGTCGCACACCACAAGCTCTGGGAACATCGAGATCGGGGGCCCCTCGGCCATTATGTTTTGCTTGCCGAAAAGGAGGACCCGGCCATCACGGACGTCCTGGACGGCCCATTGGCAGCAGCGCGAAGGCAGGAACGAAAAGGAGAAGTCAGCGGCTAGCGCGAGCGCGCGGGCGGCTAGGGCGAGCGAGCGGGCGGCGGGCGCGACCGGTGAGGCGGCTGAGCGGGGTGGAACCCGCCGAGGTTGAGATAGCCGAGGAGTGGTGGTGGGTGGAGGCGGCGGAATCGGCGGAGGAACGAGCCGTCGGTGACGAGGCGGCGGAAGGTAACGCAGGCGGCGGAGGTGCGGGCGAGGTCTTCTGCGGCGGACAGCCGGAGGAAGATCCGCTCCAAGAGGTGGTCGGGGAACTCCGGCAAACTCGATTCGATTTTCTTGCTGCTCTCCATTGGAATTTGGAAAGAGGAGGCCGGCCGCGGAAACCCTCGACGACGCCTCAATCTGATCTCATGGATGGGAATGTTGTCGTGTGGAGGTGAGACATCTTTTGTGCTGCCACAACGGGCCTTGAAAGGTAAGAATGTGTAACGGGCCTTCTTTTGGGCCTGTCCGTTGTGCTAATTTTTTTTTTAAAAAAAACTGCTACAGCGCCAGTTTGAAAACTGTATTTTCCGTGCATACAGAAATACTCCTATTAGGAACGGAGTGATACTTTTTATGTGATATATTTATGTAATGAAGTTCATAGCGTCGTAGGTGAAAACTATATTTTCCTTGCTAACAAAGTTTCCTTTTTCATGTCATATTTATGCAATGAAGTTCAGTGTTATACTCAGAATGGGCATGCTATCTGAAGTTCCCAAACAATGGTCATCAAATTATTATTTTTACGAGGAATCGGTTTTCCAATTTAACCCTAGAATTCTATGACGATCGACACATGTTAGTTCAAAAAAGTATACGCTTGTAACAAGATACTCCCTCTATAGTTGTCTGGCACACCAACTATATTCAATATAAGGAATTCTAAGTAGCATTATATTTGGCTTCTCCTCCTCCAAGAAAGAAAGTTAGGGTTTCTGCCTCTCGCCGGCACCGCCGCAGGTCCGCCTCGTCTCCGGTGGCCCTAGGCCTAGGGCCATGGGGGCGCGGTGCATCCTGCCAAGGGCCGGCGGGAGGGCTCCGTTTTCAGTCGTTTTTTCCTGTCTTGTTAGGATGTGTGTCATGCTCAGGAAGGCGAGACGGCGGCGGCTCCCTGAAGATGGAATAAAGGTCTCCCCGCCTAGCCCCCGTTTCGGCGGTGCATCTAGCATCATTGGTGGGCGTGTGGAGGTGTGTCTCCGGTGGATCTATCTTTGGTGGATTTGCTCGGATCTCGTCGTTGTTCGTCTACTTTCGTGTGTCTTCGGGTTGAATCCTTCCAACCTACGTTATTCTTCATCGGCGTCGGTTGCTGTTCTGGTGCGCTGGTCCTATGGGGCCTTAGCACGACGACTTCCCGATTGTCTACTACAACAAGTTGTACCCGACTCCCGGCGATAGAGGGGTGATGACGGCGGCGCGCCTTCGGCTCGCTTCAGTGCTTGTAGTCGTCGCTAGGTGGTCTACAGATCTAGATGTAATTTTTATTTCTGGTGTTCGTTGTACTGCCATGATTGAAGATGAATAGATTGGAAGTTTTTTCGCAAAAGAAACCTGTAGACACGGTATATAATTACGTACTAAGATTTTTCACTCATGCATTTGGATCAACCACACCTCAAGAGACTATAATATCAGTACAATAAAAACTACCATAATGGATTCATAATGACATGGGAAAGTCACACACGATATATAGAAATGATATCCATCCGTCCATCAACAAACATGCCGTCACAGCGACAAAGATTCTTAATATGTACCAAATGCTCATCACAACTGTCAAATTTCAGCGGCATCTTCATCAACATGTACCTTTCTTTCCCTGTCTCCTTTGCGCATATCTGTAGCTAGCTGCTAATTAGGAGCCATCATCTCAAGAAGAAGAAGAAATAGTTAGGGGCCATCTCACTGTCTCAGCGAAATAGCTTCTTAATCTCAGGCATGCGCCAGCCTAATCTTGCAAATGCTCATCACAACTGTTACATTTCAGCGCCACCTTCTTCATCTTGGAGTTCCAAGGATGAGAGGCTTCTTAATCCGTCGATCGACTCTGTGCAAGCAAGACAGGTAATAATCAGATGATACAGAAGAACTTTCAGCTCAGGTTGTTGTACAGATTCAATACTACTTCACGAGCAAAATGGAACAAACTAGTCACATGCCCACGCTTTGCTTCGCTGTGGGATTCACTAGATACTCATCTTGATTGAAGGTTTTATTAATTAATTCCCACAAGTGTGCAGCAGGTATATTTTTTCTACCTGGATGGCACGCCGCTTAGTTTTAGCAGTACAACCAAAAATATATGTCCTCAAGGTAGCCTTACTACACAAATTACCCGGACGATGTATTTTATAACAAGTTTGATTATTGTTATTTCCCTGCAATTTATGTACTCCCTCCATTCCTAATTATTTGTCTTTCAAGTGCACTAGTAGAAAAACACCCATTAGTCCCGGTTCGTAAGGGCCTTTAGTCCCGGTTCATGAACCGGGACTAATGGGTCGTTACTAATACCTTCACCCATTAGTCCCGGTTCAAACTCGAACTGGGACAGATGTGCCTCCACGTGGCCGGTCCGCCGAGCCCAGTTAGGGGGGCCTTTGGTCCCGGTTGGTGGCTCCAACCAGGACCAAAAGTTCATATTTGTTTTTACAAATGTGGCTGCTTTAGGGGTTTTGGGGGTTATTTTTAGGTTGTTATTAGCTAGCTAATAGAGAGAAGTGTCCTCTCTTATATCTTCGTCCTTGGTTTATCAACGCTGCTGCTATGTTCATTTCACCCGCTGATATAACATGCTCATGCATGCGCATCATACATCATCATATATAATAACAAGTCCTATGCATCATCATACAACTTCTTCTCGTTATTAATAATAAGTCATACGATCATCATCCTCATAGTCATCGAACCCAAACCTACATAATTGTTCTTAGCACATGATCATCAGTATCAGGTAGGACCTAAACACCCTTAAGGTAAAATAGCATAAAACAATATAGACCCTGACTCTCCATTATGAAGAATGGCGAGCATCCTGTCTTCAATTCTTGCCCTTCGCTGCTTGTTGCTTCCAAGAAGCTCCTTATGACCGTCCATACATTTTTTTCCATTCTTTGATTGTTATGTCTCCACTTCTTTTAGAAACTCGGTATGGACAGTTGAGATTCGTAGGACGACCTGGTTTATGTTCAAAACATGAAGGCTACCATGCGTATACATCAGATGAGACACACAATCATTCGGGATTATCTGTTGAAAAACATAGTAATAACTTCGTAGTTAGCAATGATGTACTAGTTTTAGAAGTGTGCAAAAAGATCACGGATGTCGTAATAGTAAAAAAATCTTACCAGGATATCTCCATGGTAGTTACCGTAGTTCAACACATGCACTAGTGGCACGTATTGACCATAATGTTGAGGAGTTTGATTGTAGATATTGTAATTCTCAAGATCAGTACAAAATGCGACCAGATGATTTTTCTCCTGATAAGTTAATTCGGAGCCTTCGGTGTAGTAGGTTCTGTCTACCATCTTCCGCACATTCTTTGAAGAATGAAAATAAGCTGTCAATGGAGATAAGTTGTCAACTATTTTGAAATAAACAATATAAATTACTTAATAACTATGTTAAGCTCACATGGGGGAAGAATTGGAGGTGTATCCACAAGGACCCAAATCGAAGGTCTCTCTTGCTCGATTGTAGGATCACCAAGATCCATGGTGACAAGCATACGCTCATCAAGACCATACATCTTGCAAAGTGCTTCCCAATTTTTGCAACCAACATGGGTTACACTCTGAGCATTGTACAGCTTTACTTGAAAATCCACACCATGACGGGTACTTAGGATAATTTTTTTGGTTTCAAAACTTTCATGGTCTTCAAAACTCATCCTCTCCAAGACATAGCGTCTTGCAAAGCATGGGATAAGCTAGTCGAATTGGAAAAGATGAAAAATATTGTCATGATTAAAATAGTTGAAGTCATGAGTAATTACGAAAAAAAACTATTGTTGTCGGTTGCGTACCGTATGAACATCGAAGGTCTCCTCGAGCTTAATGCTGAAGCGATGATCTTCGTCCAGCTCAATGAACCTGTCGCAGATACCTCGGTCGTTGTGGCACCAGTCGCACTCCCCCGGACGGTTTTCGTCGTCCGAGTACGACATTTCCGTCCTATGTTCATAATTCAAATATTAAACTAGATTATTAATCACGGGTTGACTATCGGTGATGTACGTAGCTCCTCCTCTCATTCCTGAGTGCATTATTACATCAAATTGTCTAGCACACGGGAATGAAGGAGAACTTATCCAATATGAGCATTCAATAAGCAAAACCAAATCATAAAATAAGCAAAGCCAAATCATAAAATAAAGTAGTATTCAAATTAGCATGCATTCAATAATTATAAGCAAAAGTACATCATCTCTTGGTATCCGTACATCGTCGAATATTATCACTAATATAGCATCACTAATACAACTAGAACCGTAGCGCCCGACGGGTATCGATGCAGGCGGTGGACACCCAAAGATAAGCAACCATCACAGGATCATAGGTCCAGTGAGATCCCTGAAGAACCTGTCAGGTATTGTCGAACCTCCCCTCCAATGCAACCATGTAGCGACGGACGTGCTCGTCCTCCTCGCTGACACGGTGACGTACCACCTCCGCGGTGTCCGGAAGCCTCGGCACCGTCACTGGCCCACGCGACCACCACCAAACAAGGATCGGGTCAACAATGGCTGCCTCCTCACCAACCTACGTCCCCCGGAAGGTAGCACCTCCCAATACCAGCCCGGCGGAGCCCAGTCCCGAACATGACCCTGATCAAGCAAGCCTCCACCGCCGAGTCGACGACGACGAGGATGCGGGATAGGCATCGCCGACGTCGATGCGGGA